GACACACTCTGTTTTGCGTACTATACATCCCGTATTATTCTCCTCAGGCTGTGTATTTCACCATCAGCTGCTCTGCTTTACATCATCCTGTCAAGCTAAACACACATAGATCCACTGTAGAGGAGAATTTATTTACATGTGTTTTTTCCCGATTTTTTTTTTTCCACAGGGCAACTGGAGGACCTGAGGTTGCCATGGGAACTGGCCCCTGGCCCCAGCCCCCTACTGAAGCTGAGCAGCTCCAAGCCCTGATGGCTGCAGCCAACGGTGGGTCCTATACCTCGTCACCTCTTTCGTCCCTCCTATGAGTTCCACCATCTCTTTTCCAAGCCTATTTATTGCTCGTCTTCTCATCGGGATGCGTGGGAAGTGGTGGTTTGTTTAGCTTCCTGTTTGGTTGGAGAGCAACAAGCCAGACTCAGTCATCGATAAAGCTCTGTCTGTCCACGCTGGCGTTTCCATTTAGTGGATGTGAACCTAGTAATACTACCCACAGTTTTCTTGATGTAGTAAAGCTGATTTGTTGAATATAATAACACAACAGTGAGGCACGTTTCCACTGTACACACTTATCACATGTTTAATGTTTTACTATAAGCTGTAAGCTATAAGGGCTACTCGTACATTTATGTAACATTAAAGCCTATATGATTCCTATATGTTACAACACACATCCTCCCCCTCCTGTCCTGTCCCTTCTGTCCCTGCAGTGACTGCTTAGGCAGCACTGAGTTGAATTCACACAGTGACTCATCTTCAGGCTTTGTCATCGCATAGAAAAGTACACAGGAAACAGCAGGATTACCAAGACCAAATGTAGCGTCAGGCAAACACAAATTATACAAAGATGGTGATGATGGAGAGACGAATGTGACTAGGTTTATTGGCAAACAGATTCAAGTCGTCACTTCCAGTGTTATTTCACCACCAATCCGTCCCACCCCCCTTCTTGGACACTGGGCCCTGGTGTGTGACATTTTTTTTCCATCACTGGGAAATGGCGAGATGGTCATGTGGTGGTAACCTGCATGTTAGACAGAATGAACAATTTGAGCCATCAGGGAAGAAGGAACAAGCCTGAGCGTGTGATAAATACTGAAGGTCATCTCTCCTTTGTGCTTAATGTCACTGTGCCGATAAACACAATGCAGGAACAATTCATTTAATTAGCGCTCCACTTCAGAGGAGAAGGTAATAAAAAAGTGTTCTCTCTAATGACTTTAGCTCCAGCACAGTTAGAACTGCAAATGTCATGTGCATGTGTGTGTTTATGGAGGCTGAGATGAACCAGAGAATGGGGGAGGGAGGGTTTGTTCCCTGGCTCTGCAATGCAGGGGCTGTGGGAGAATTATGGGCTGAGCAGCTACGTCATGCGCACTCACAGAAACAGGGCATGCCTGATTTTTTTATTTTATTTTAAGAAAAGGAAAGCCAGACAAACAGAGGAATAAGACATTTTCAGCAACCATGTTGAACAAAAAGAAAATCTTCTTCACTCTTTTGTTAATATTCCTTCTTGTTCATATCTTTACTTTTTAGGTTCACTTACAGTCTTTTTATGTTTTTGTTTGAACTAAACCTGATGTTCAGACTGAATTTCCTTTTAATCTCCTGTACAAAGTATTCTAATTTCCTTTTATGTCCCATTTAATTTCACCTCTTCTGTTTATACTAGATATTCTTCCAAATGCTTTTCTAACAAGTTTCATCCCTCTGTCCTCTTCCCTCCTCACCCCTTGTCCCCCAACTTTGTCTCTCTTCCCCCTAGAAGTGAGTGAGGCTACAGCCACCCTCGGGCCCGGCACTATGGGCTTGAGCACCCGCTACAGCCCCCAGTTCACCCTGCAGCACGTGCCAGACTATCGTCAGAACGTCTACATCCCAGGCAGCACGGCCACCCTCACCTCAAACCCCCAGCAGCAGCAGGCCACGGCCCAGCAGGCCACCCAACAGGCACTGCCCCCTCCTCAGGCCTCAGCTCAACCAGAGCCCCCCAAGGCCGCCCAGACTCCAGCCTCGAAGAAGAAGTCCACCAAGAAGGAGAAGAAGTAGATGTGAATAGGTGAAGGAATGATAAACCTGGGCCTGATCTGATGAGAAATTAACCCTCCACACCCCACCATTAGATATCTTAAATATTGACAGCAAATCACTTGTGACCACATGGGCGATTTTGAAAGTTCTTTGAAAGTGTCTTGAATGCCTCAAAGAATCTGAATGTGTTGAAAGCTGTTAGTGTTTCTAACTTGTGCTGTGCTTAAGGTCTATTATTGTTCACATAACCGTTGTTGGTAGATATATTTGGCTGGGTGTGGGGGGTTACTGTCCCCCGCCCATATTTCTTTCTCTTTTTTTTTTTGGCAAAAATACAAAACAAAAACTTGGACAAAGAGATTCAGTGTAAGCAACCTTGCTGGGATGACAAGACTATACGCAGTGATGTATTCAGAAATGAAATGTTAATGTCTTTCACGTTTGATTTTTTTCGTGCACTTTCCATGAAGTGGAAAGTCAGCTGTTGTAAAGTACGTTAGTTGCCATCCATTAGATTGCTAATAGGGTCAGCATTGCTGGGTCTTAAAGCGTTAAGTCCTTTGACTTTAAGGCTGTTGTTTGACAAGTATTACAAACTCTTCTGCATGCTCATTAAGGTTCAAACCACATATACTAGTTTAGAATTGCAAACTATGCATTGCAAAAGCAGAGGAGGAGGACATCTTGAATCTATTATCGTCCCTCCAATCGCAGGTCAATATAATGCACATGTAGCATTTACTTGACGCAAAATGAAAATTACTTTTGTAATCGTAGTTTAAAAAAAAAAAGATTTTAATCTTCTGATATTTTTATGACCTGAGCATGCACCCGGAGGAAGGGCTGGCAAAGAGTGGGGGTAGCACGGCGCTGTGTCGTGGAGTCACGAGCCATGCTGTCCATATCAGTGGTACAGCAGCAGGGACTGGCTTCTTCTGCAACACCTCCAAGATGGGCACAGATATGTCTTGCTGCCCCGCACCCCCCTGCCCTCCCCTCCTCACACTCAGCTCGTGTCCCTCCCTCATTCACCACCCCCATATTGAGAGCCAAACAAAAAGAAATGCACTGTTAGTATTCTTAAGATGATGTAGGGGTTGTAATCACTTCAGTCTTTAGGGAAACATGTAGATGTGGTAAACTTAAGTGCTTAGGAGTTTCTAGACACCTTGCGGGCCTTTAGGGCCTCGATGGAGTATTTTCCTTCACCATCCTCAAGTGCTGAAGAAACGTCTTGATGTGGCACAGTATCATGTCTTTTCTTTGGGAGATAACGATTCGATAGCATAGAGAAAGTGTTTGTATAAGATATGAAGTTTTTACATTGCCGTCTATCCTTCTGTCAGACTCCTGGACACGTACAACAGCATGAAGAAAAAAAAGGCAGCTTGCAGGGTGGGTTAGGGAGAGTGGAAGTGGTATGGTGAGAGGTAAACAGACTGAGGTGGCACCATTGTATCGATCAGGGGGTGGTAAACATCCTTGGCTCTACCCACTGAATGTACAGAGGAACCACAGTTGACCTGCCCACCCCAGAAACTCTCTCAAATGCACTGACTGTAGTAGAGGTCAACAGAGCCAAGCGCAGTTGTCCCTGTTGGTGAGGAGATGCCACTCACAAGCCCTTTGAAATCTCTCTCTTCCATTGACACCAATGGGAAACCTCAACCTCTTCACCCCTCACCTCTCCCCCTCTACTCCCTAGTCCTGTGAGGCTCTTCCCCACTGTAAATAAACACGAGTCCTGTCGATGGTATGAGCCAGGTGTTTGTATAGTAGGGACCATGTCCAACATTTTCAAAATAAAAGTCCCTCTCCACAAGGCGTGGCTTACTACTGGAATGTGTTGCATTTTGTTTTTAAGAAAAAAAAATTTAAGAAAACCACAGTTAAAAAAAAAACAATAATAAAAAAAAAAATTGAGATGTTCTTCAGCAGTTTGTGTTGCAATGTAGTAACTAAGCACCATGGAAGCCAACTAACACTTAAGTGTAAATAACTGATAAAGATAACTTTAGATAAGTAAAAGAAGTGACACACGTAGACTAGTTAACTTGTGGTATGTGTTGCGCATATTTTTGTGTTTATTTTCCCTCTACTATCTTTTATCACCCTGTAAAGATACAAAACAAAAGAAAAAAAAATATGGAAAAGTTTCTATCCTTCTGTAACCTCTTAATGTTCTTTTGCGGTGATTTTATCTTGTGCATTTGTGAAAGAATGCCTCTCATTCTCTTTCTGTCCATATGAACAAATGATTATAAATATTATATATGTGTAAGTCCGTCCGCTGCTGAATTAATCCTACTCTATCCTGCTGTATTATCTTTCTTATCAAATGCTTAAACCCCACGCTATACCCCTGTGTTACTCTCTTATTTTTATGCTAATATTTATATTGCTGTTTTATTTTCTCTTGAACACTGACATTTCAAATAAAAAGATTCATTTTAAAAATACTTATGCGTGTGGTTTGTGTTAACGCTGCTGTTTCTCATTTCTCTCACAGGCTAGAGACTGAGTGAGGTAACTCGGAGCATCATTACACTGTTAACAATATTAATGGCACTCGCTAAACAGTTTAAATGCTTCTTGGAGTTTTAACCCTGTGGCTGCAGCACTACTAATTAATCTCAGAAGCCTTTTGTCTTTTTTAATTTCAGGTTTCTTTAAAAATCAAACTATGAAGCTACACATAATTTACAGGAACTAGGATGGCTTAATCAAAAACATGTTAAATTGATGATATAAGTTCTGATCCTTTTTCAATAGGACTCAGAACTACAGCTGCCAAAAAAGTATTCCTTGTTTACAAAGAAAAAGCACAGCACAGCATATTAAGTAAGTCAGTAAAATTGATTTATTTAGCATCTTTCTAGATAAGGATATGCTTCACAAAAACAATTAGTATGTCTATACAAATAAGTACTAAACTGCTCTTTAAAAGTTTCAATAGAGTCCATTGATCTCAAACATAATGGTAATATTTCCTTTAGTTTTCACTGTAGTATGAGGAACCACCACCAAGACCTGCATGTTACATATGTGTGCAAGAGTTCACTATTGTAAGCTGCCATTTGACCATGCAGAGCTCTAAAACTGATCACCAAGATCTCAAACTGAAGTCTGGACGTTATAATTAAAGCATGGTGGAAAGTAAAATAGTACTGAGGTCAAATGTAAGATAATCATAGAGCTTATTCTATAAACTGTTTCCTTCTCCAACTCATTGATATTAGAGCGACACGCTTTTCTATCTTTCCTCTTGCAGAAGTTGGGGCCACCATAGGGAACATGCCTGCACATGCTCTTTGGGCATTTCAATAGATCTTACACAATAACACATGTCCCTATAAATAGCCCACGGGACGTCACTAAGCAAAACAAAAGGAGCAGCCCACTGCTGCAGATGTTGGGGGATGGAAGGAGGGACTGAGAAACTGGAGGGATAGAGAGGATGTGTCGGCCATGAATCAGGTTGTTATGCCTGCTGTTGTGGGTTTTCAGAGTCCAGGTTACTGCCTGAAGATTATGCAAGACCAGCGGCTACTGGAGCTATTTAATCATACCTGAAATGACAAAGAACAATCCAGTTTTTCCACACGACAGCATTCCACCATCAATCACTGCAGATTCACATACCCAAAATGGCCGTCTCCTCTTGCCACTTTCTTCTTGAGTTATATGGTTGCCACAGTAACCATCAGCCCTAGCGCTGGATGCTTTGCTCTGTTCAACACATCTTCATTACAGATATATCCAGTGGCCATTATTGGCTCTGCTCAGGGCCTGGCTGAGCTGAATGACCTGCGGAAAGATAAACATATTCAGCAATTAGTCAAACCTGGCAACCGACTGAGCCATATGTAGAGAACATGGCAGAGCTGATTGGAGAATATCCCACACATACAGACACAAGGAGATGAGTCAGAGGTAATAAGGCACTGTGGGTTTGTCCCCATTTGGAGAAATAAAATATGAGCTTCCATTTTAGAGCCTATTCTGGTTCTATCAATGAAAGGAAACTGAGGTGCTGTTCGTATGGGTATATAATGCATATATAAGTAGGACTTAAAATAGCTTTATAGTCTCTTTGTCAGCTGATGTTTGTCATCCTGTGACTCATACAGACTCCTGCTGCCCTGACTGTCCCCATGTGTCACAAATTTCCCCAAGGGGAGACCCAACAGAATGAGGAGATTGTTCTTCTGCTGCCCCCTTTATGTCCCCTACCCCATCTCGCTTAATTGAGCACATTCCTACTGATTATACACACACAGAGATGCACAATAGTGTGACAAACAGGCAAAAAAACCTTCAAATCAGTGATGTATAGCAGTCGCAGACTAGAACCTGACAATGGGCAGCCTGTGTACGATAACAGCATTAGTGACACAGCCTGGACACAAACCAGAAGACCAGGCTTCGTCATATCCTCAGTGTGATACATGCACATGGAAGCAGAGATGTGGCGGCCCACAGAGACACTTACACACCCAGACATTCAAAACACAGCCAAGAGCACCCACAATAATTAAAATGTATTGTAATTTGAGCTATAATTCACATCACACGCCTACATAAGAAAACGGAGGTTCCTCTCTTCCTCGTCAGTGTGGGGGCTGCCAGAAACTTCCCGCGCAAGGAAACAAGGATCTCATTTCAGGCCAAGGAAGACTTAATCAATGTGAAGAAAGAGCAGGATGTGACGTAATGGGTCGCTAGTGGCGGGACAGGAAGTGAGTTTCCGCGCCCGTTTACTGTTTTTTAACCTCGCAGTAGTAAAATCAAAGGAAGGAGTTCTCCCCCCCCTCATCCTCCTTCACTGGCTTCCTCTCTTCTTCCTTCCCTGCCCCCCACATCCCCCCTTTCTCACTCCAGCAGCTGTCTCTGCATATGTAGGGTCACCACATGTTGGAGAACAGAGGTCTGTTTTGTGGATATGCACACTGGAAGACTGAAAGGATAAAGCTTAATCTGGGCTTTTGTCGGGAATAACCCTGACATGAAATTATATATATATGTATGTATGTATGTATGTATGTATATGTATATATGTGTGTGTGTGTGTGTGTGTGTGTGTATAAATTAACAACCACTCATCATAAGCAGAATCTAAATCCAGCAGGAACTGACTGACCGCCACTTTTATCAAGCAGGAATCTTGCAGTGCAGAGCCAGAGAAAGAGAGAAACTGCTGTTTTTAGGATGAACATTCCTTATAGAAGATTAATTGACAGAGAGGAATGGAAAGTTAGTTTTCTGATGGCACTCTCTGCCAGCTCTAAAAATAACCCCCGAACAAAAGCGTCGGATAACACCAAATGATTCGTCACATATGAACACACACATATCCATACGCTGCATTGCTCTTTAAAAATCATCTTTGTATCTCTGTAAAGACAAATATCCTGCTAATTTTCCAAAAGTCTGCTTTCATTTATTATTTCAGCAGAGAGGAATGTGTTCATGGGGCAGCGTTAACAGGGAATCTGCTGCTCTAAGGCAGAAAGAAGAAGGGGAGGTCATTAAGAAAGAGCATTGGAGCGCTGGAGCCTGAACGTTGCTAAGGCTAACACTATCCTGATTTAAAGAGACTCAGTAATGTGCTGGCTGCTGGCTCGACTAAATCACAGAGATGGAGCTGTAGCAATGTGGAGGAAGAATACAATGCTCCCTTTCAAAGCCACAAACCCTTTTTCTCTTCATCTGAAAAGCCCCCTCTCTCCTCATCTCTCTCTCCCCTCATCTTCTTTGCCAAGTGTTCTCGCTCCTGTTTTCTCAGCTGGGAGGATGGAAATGAGACAGCGGGGAGACAGGAATTGAGAAGGGAAAGACAGACTGAGGGAAAGAGAAGGCTGACATTAGGCTGCTACAGACACAGGGTTAATTGCTTTGTAAGCCAGTGAAAGAGAAGAGTGAAAATATGAGGACTGCATCAAGTCAAAGGTCGCAGACAACATAAAATAAGAAAGTGCAGTTTGGTTTTAATTTCCCCAACAGGATGGAACAATGTGTGTGTTATTTTTTTAGGAGATCAAAAGCTTCCATCTGGTGTAAAGTGGTTTAAGGGCATCCTCTCCCCCCACCTTGTTTCTACACACTCTAATACCCACACACACACACACATACACACACTAAAAAAACACACACACAACACTCTAGCATAACCCCAATCCCTTTTAACAACCATACACCCCATGAGCAGTCCTCCACCCCGCTCCCTATGCAGCTACCACACCCCCAGCACAGTGCAGAGGATCTAATCCATTGCCTCCACCAGCTGCGGTTGTCATGGTAACAGAAAATTCCAGATTTCCATGATGAAGGCTGGAACAGAGAGGAAACCAGAAAATAAAATGTTCAAGGATTCAACAAAGAACGCCAGCTTACTCTTTGTTGTTTTCGCGGGCGTGTGTGTATGTGTGTGCGTGTGCATTTGACACAGCTGCATGTGAAGGATGTTGTGTAGCATGTATTAGATTTTAGACATACCAGAACATTAACCGAGGAGGTTAAGTGTGTGTGTGTGTGTGGGAGAGAGGTGGGTCTGAAAGGTCGGACACGCTGTGAATGCGCAGCTCCTCCAGACATGCAGACATTGACACAGAGGCATGTCGACTACTCAGCACCATGGCGACAGGTGTTGCTGCGGAAATGGTGCAGCTGCTGCATGGATATTTCGGGCTAATAAGCGTGCATCATCAAGCAAGTCTCTACTTTCCCCCTCTCTCCCCACTGCACCGCTGTGTCCCGTAAACTGCCCCTGTAACTGATCCCCTTTCCAGTAGAGTCATGCAGTATTGTTTAGAAAATACGTCCAATTAGGAGAGAATCTCGAGGTCTTCAGGGAGCATACACATCAACAAATTCATTACACGTGCTGACATAGCTTGCATAAAAAAATAATAATAATAATAACTTGCTCAGTTCTTGAATTGCTGTTGGTAATAACAAGGTGTGAAACCAGATGGTTTCTGTCTAAAACTAACTGGGACACAAACTATGTGTCAAATTCACCCACTAATATCAAGCACCGGCTATCAGGTTGAATGCTTTCCCTTCTGGAAATCCCACAAGCATCTCCAGAATGAGTAGAAATGCAGCCACAGTCTTTAGACAGACAGCCTACAACACATACACACAAACACACACAGAAATTATGAGAATGTAGCATATTTGTGAAACCCCAGGGAAAAACAAACCGGGCATCAACACTTGAAATCATCAACTGGGATCATGGGAATGTTTTAAGAGCCATATCTCACATTCTGACAGTCATCTAAATGTCACCAGTGTTGGTGGGACGCTCTGCTGCACGCCACGACCTCTGGGACAGGTGTTAAACCCATCAGCAGAGGAGGAACCTGGGAACTTACTCTGGAAACATGGGAAATCAATTCAAATACAAGACATACCAGAGGTTCTAAGTGATCACTGTACCAGATAAAAATGTAGAAAAAAAGCCAAGCACATTCCTACAGAAGAAAAGTGCATTATCTGTTATAAAGATATATTAAAGGTGCCAGGAGAACCTCATAAAGGGAGATAAGAGCTAAAAGCCAGTGAAAATATTTGTTCTCTTGTCTTTGCTTTCTGATGCAGTGCAGTCAGACTGTGCACAATTAAACTTCCCAAAATGGTTCACTGCCTCATTTAGAAATTTGCAGGAGTTGTGACTAGCTTGTTTGCATGGAGGCGTGTGTGCATCAACAGCAGGCAGAAAACAAACCTCTGAGAGGATTAATTAGAAAATACTGCAGGATGTTCTGGGAAACGAAGAGGAAGAAGACAGAGAAGGGGGGGAAAGTTCCAGTGCCCTGATTTACTGCTCTCATGATACGTCACTACCATCCCTCTCCCTCCCTTCCCCAGTCTCTTTGTTCTCTCCCCCGATCATATTCTCCACATTTTTGGCAACACACAAACCTAATTTATTTGGTCAAATTCTTTCAATGTTTCCCCATTATTTTTTATCTCTATCATTGTCACTACATCCATTTTCTTCTTTCTTTATTGCTAAAGCCAGATAACCAGACTCTCTGCCCTAGATTAAAAATTGAGGTCTGTCAGTCTGCCTTTGTGACCCCGCCTGACGTCCATCCATCTATTCATCCATCCACTGCTTCCCTCCGCTCCTCTCTTTCCATTTGAGAGGGTAGTGGAAGTCCACAGAGTTCAGTTTGTGTCACTCGTCTGTCGGTGTCCATAAAGCTCAAATATTCATGCGCCCGTTCCGCGCCATGCAACAACAGATGATGTCGGAGTGCGAAAGACTCTCAGTTTCCATGGCAACCTCCAACATCCATTCCCCTCCTCCCCCTCCCCTCCGCATCCCCCTCCTCTCTCAACTCAGTTGGGTGGTAGCGAGGGATGGCGGCGGGGATGATTACCTCTCTGAGACCATGCAGCAAAGGGAGGGGGGGGGGGGGGGGCATTACAGGGAGTAGCTCGCTAGGATGTGAGGGATGGAAGCAGAGAGGGGAGGAGATAGGAAAAAGTACAAATAATTAATGCAGATTTTTAAAAAGTGGAAGCCAGGAAGAAAAAGAAAAGGTCTGACGGGTGTGGATTGGATGACGAAAACAAACATCTGTCTGCTGATGACCAAGATAAATCTTTATGTTCTCCTTCACTCTATGCATTCCCTCTTTGTCCTTTCTTTGCTCTCCCACCCATAAAGATGCAGAACAGCACACAGACTGTAAGCAGCTTACTATAATACAGCTCCATAAAGGCTTCCAATACTTCTCCTTTACCCCCTACCCTGCCTGCCTACCTGCCTGACTACAAAATGAAAGGTAATGCAGCATACTGCCCCCTATGCTTCAAAATCAAGCTTGTCTGGACCTTTGTGTTCTACAGAACACATTTGGAGTAGTTGCTGAATGGAGCACTTGATCCACCCTATCCTCTTCATTATTAGTAAAGCTGTGCCTCATATCGTCTGCACTGTAACCGTCCACCAATCTCAGCTTAGCTGTTTACAGGCCTGATGTTTCCCTTTCATCACCCCTGCTCTGGTCTTTATCCTATGCCTGACTGAGCATCATCCGCATTGTTTACTGCCCCCTGTTTAAGATATCATTCCTTTCCAGCTGCAGCCATTTGTCCACATCTGTGTTCTCTCCCTCTATGTGGGTCATTGTTTGTCATGGTTGCTTTTGTCTTTGTTTTCTTTGTCCCTCCTTTCACTCTTGTGATGCTACTCCAGCTCTCACTTTAAAATGAGAACAATCTCTTCTAGGCACAAAGAAAAAATAAACTTTCTTAAAACCCATGTTTTAAGAAAGGGGGAACTGTTGGAAATACACGGCAAAGGATATAGAAAAGAGAAATAGTGTATACATGGGGATGATGAAACAAGCAAAAGAAGAGAGGAGAAGAGATGTGAGACACGTGAAAGGGAAAACATTGAGGTATAGCAGTGAGAGGTCAGGACGGCACATAAGACACGCAAGAAATGGGGGGGGCTTAAGGAAAATCGGGTATGGGTACTGATTTTTGCCAGCAGGAAGTTAAAGTAACCACGGTAACCAGTCAAAGAAGTGATGTCATTGTATCTAATAGGTGCTTTGCATGGAGGTGGGATTTTCTGGGGGGGAGAATGAGTGTCTTCACCCTCAGCAGTTTGTTACATATTAAGAAAGAAAGGTGCTGAGGTGCTGACCGGAAACATCTGTC